GGCAAAACTTTATGTTGTTCACCTGCCAAGGTCATTGCACTTTTAACCAATCAATGGATACAGGACATTCGGTCCGACTTTCTTCTGTTAATTTCTCAGGTCTGGTTTTGACTTCGCTTTTGTATATAATAAATATTACAACGAACAAGAAAGTCGGACAAACGGTCCGACGATCACTTGGTTCCTGTATATCCTGTCCGACTTTTTTCCACTAATGTAATATTTATTAACGTTATGTACAAAAGCGAACTCAAAACCAGACGTGAGAAATTGACAGAAGAAAGTCGGACCGAATGTCCTGTACCCATTGATTGGTTAGTGCATGTTGACCATGGCAGACGAACAACATAATGTAGTTTTGCCTGCAACCCGCCAGCTAGCAACGACAGTACTGTACAGTACCTTAGAGCCTGGTACTCCTGGAGGTGTGAAGCATCCGCCAGGGAGATCCTCCCTCTGACGGATGCACCACAACACCAGTAGGACCAGGCTCTAGGCTCTAAGGTACTGTACTGTACTTTCGTTGCTAGCTGGCTGTACAAGATCAAGTCGCGGGACTTGACCAAGAATCAAGGTGTGTGAGTGGAAGTTCGCTGTGCAGGAGCTCCAAAACGTTTATACGAGCTCGATTGGCACTGGTTTGGGTCGTCCCTACACCTCGGCCACGGCTATAGCTGCATTGCATTTGGCACTAATGGCCAATTTGGCATCATCCAGGGGTTTCACTGAACTTGGACGTCAGCTTCGTATGTCCCAAATGAAGATGGTCACATTTGTACGCCTGGCTAGAAAACGTAGACGGGAGACGTAAGTTGCTGTAATCCGGGTTTTTATGGCATTCCCGCATATACACCCTACTTAATGGATTGCACGGCATCCGTATTTATATACGGGTGCCGTGCAGCTCCCCTTACAGTACTTCTCAAAGTTGTGGGTGTAGGAGCACAATAAAGTCGGAATTGACAGACTAACAGTGCAAATGATGCAGCAACAAGTAAAGGCAAGATAATTAGGTCGAATTTAAGCCAATCAGAATTGAGTCGGATGAGATGTTCGATCACAACACATCCTTCGCTCTACCGTATAGTGTATATGTATTGCGACAGGTGATATTTCACAACCAGCCGACACTCTTTCTCAAAATTTTGTTAATCCATTGCGTCATACAAATTTGAAGTATATTCAACATGTACACAAGTAAATACTACGTAGTACGTACTAAGTATCAGTTATTA